TATACTAGTGTAATTTATGGATAGTAGTTCCTCTCTATGAGATCCCACTATAAGGTCCAAATCCAGAAAAGTCTTCACAGTACATTTTTTAATAAAAGGAGGAATCTTGTTACAGAGATAGTTTCTTCGCTGTAAAAGATCATCCTAAGAGAATCGAAGAAAGCAATATATTGTTTTTCGTTCAAACGGGGAGTCGTTCGGTAGAAAATCATAAGTGGTGTATCCCGGAAGTTCTTGGTTTTTTGTCAAGCCGTAGTATGAAGAAACATTGTTTAAAACATTACTACTACTCCTCTCAAGTAATCAATCTTACCAAATTCAGCACTTGAGCTAATAGTATTCCTGCTTGGAAGAGCAAGTCCCATTTCTGGTATGTCTTGATTAATTGTTGTTCCACAATAAAAATAATAACTAAAAATCGTAGGAAAAAGAATGCAAACAACATTTTCTATTCAAAACATGCAGTCTTAACACGCTTACTTTTTCTTTGTTTTTCGATCAGCAACAATAATACGTTCTACACCACTGATTTCGTTATCCATGATTTTAATCTTTTCTAAATCACCTAAATACATCGACTCTACATGAAATATGTATTCCTACAACAAGATACAAACTGAAACAGTTGTTATAAAATAGGACAAGCTGATCTAGTTTTTACTTGTTGATCAACTTCAGCTTCATCCTTAGATCCTTTTTGACATGATTCGTTCAGTATTAATGGACCGGAATTGTCGTATTCGTTACACATGATTATCCTGAGTTTTTGACGGCTATTGTTATCAAATAACGCTTTATTGATTTTGTCGCCAAATAAATGTACAGTATATTTTCCTTAAGAACATCCACAGTACAAGTAAGATCAACAGATGAAAGGCGTCCTATTCACCTTTTTGACCCACATTATCTATAACACTAGAGTCTGAAACGAGAAGAAAGAAATAAGCTCTTGAACCACACAAAACACACGAAGTCAATTTGCTTACTAGGATCATGCAGAACAGGCGGAGCGTCTTTCGACATTTTTACTCGATCTATAGCATTGACTATCCACGTTAAGCTTTTGTTCATCTGTGGAAGACAAGAAAAAGCAAAATGATGTGTGATTTTAAAAACCATCGTTTACATTTTCTGAATGGACTTTATGACGTTCAGACGATGTACGAAGGGAGTTTATTTCTGTATTAAGTATATCAATCTTATCAGACAAAGTTGCTAGTTGTAAAGTGGTGCCTTTTGTTTGATCTTCAGTCAATAAATCTACTTCTTGCCTATAATATAAATATAGTTAAACCTAAAGCTATAAACAAAGGTTCTCGTGATGTAACCTGGAAGGAATTTCTGTGGAAGATAATGAATCAGAACCATTTAACCGGCGAACATAATCGTTTGTTGAATAACTTTCAAATTCTAACCATTCACTTTCGGTACGCTCTTCATCAGCAGCAATCATTTCTGCAAAGGGCAGCAAACCAATAGATGGAGCTCTATGCTAAAGAACGACTCACTAAATGTTCTAGATTGCATTTTTGAATTATTTTTCTTCACACAAAGATTATACCAAATGTATTTTATCAGCCAGTAGATATGAAAAAAGATTGTAAATGGAGGAAACAATGGTGAGCGAAAGTAATACTCTCGTACAATTGTGTATCGATCATATGACCAAATAAGATCTTTGCGTTCTTGTACTGTATTTATTGTAAAACTGGAAAGAAAAAGAAAAGAATCGCCTTCCACACATTTCTGGAATGTAAAATACTTACGTGAACATTGCAATCAGTAAGTTAATTAACAAAATATTCACAAATAACATGTGAAAAGCTAATAAGACTTGTGTAGCAACTGATGTTCCCGCTCCGGGACTAACTATAATAGGAACAAGCATAAACAAGTTGATTCAACATCATAGTTATACCTTCTAAAGCTGCTCTTTCATCGTCAAAACTTCCAAATATGAAATAGTAAACCGGATAAATGATATTCTTAAATATTTCTGGTGCATTGAAATTGAATGTACCATATAAATACATAGCACGTGACGTAACCCCATATGCAGTCACAGCAATTAAGAACAAGAAAACGAAAAATAATAAGTCGTTACTCTAAAACATAAAAAACAGGCAGTCTTTATTTTGTGCACATACGAAACTAACGCGAACCATTTTCCTAATCATGACTAATTTTGGTCCAAGATCTTGTGCTACACCAACAAATAACAACGATCGAATGAACCAGAGTTCCAAATCATATGCCAATACAATCCTAGCACACAGAAGCAAAGTTGCTCTAGAATTATGTATGAAAATATCACGATCCTTTCTATCTACTAGTCCTCTACATATACAGAGTGCGATAGACTATCTTTGACTAAGTCGGTCAGGAAGTGCCTCCTCGACTTCCTGCCTAGTCACCGCCCCGTACCTCATCAAGTTTCCGGAAGTCTACTTGCGGGGATCGCCCCGTAAGAGTTCTGCCTCGTCGTCGCTCGGTCCATCGTCAACTATTGATAAAATTATATAACGGGTGCGGCAGAATAAATGATTCTCTCAGTATTTTATATTTTTCTCGTGTTTCTTTAGAACCCTAAAGTTAGTGTTTTTCTTAAAAGATGCGTCGTAAAATGCTCTGCGAAACTATACTTAAATTTTAATCAGCCATTATGTACCCGTGACTTCGTTCTAGCTTTTCACTACACTTCAAATTTTTCCACATCGGAATCTATGGAGAAATAATGATTCTTCAATGTGTTGTCACGCAAATTTTCGTTAATTATTTAAATTCTCGCTATAGTGATGCCTTCAGTAAAAGTTCCATAACCCCATCAAAACAAAAGCTTTTTCGATCAGGTTTGTTTTGTTTTGTTTTGATCAGAAATGATTGCTCTTCTCTACCTAATTGCAAAATCAAAATTTTGATCTTGCTTGAGCACATTGTTAAACACGCGGGGCTGTTAATTTCTGACGTATTTTTGTAACTTCCTTCACCAACACACCATCTGCTCGACAATTTCTTTTTCACAGACCACGAGAAAGAGCATATTCAAAAGTACAAAAAGAACTGCGTTCTCACTTTTGCTACAGCTTTTTACGGAAGTAATAGCAGAAATAATAAGTTTAAGTCGAAAAAAATAAGAGATTTGGAAAGTTTTGATTTTTTTCGTCTTTTGTATAATTTGTGTAGTTTTCTTGATCGAAGTTCTGAAAATTAAAATTTAAGTATGGTTTTGTAGAGCATTTCGCGACGCATCCTTTAAGAAAAACACTAACTTTAGGATCCTAAAGAAGCACGAGAAAAATAGCAGATACTGAGAGAATCATTTATTCTGCCGCACCCTTTATGTACAGGACACGTAGTAGGAAGACAAAAGAAAAGATAAAAAAAGTTAGAAACAACCTTTGCAATATACAACTGTTAGAGCTTTATCTTCGACTTGAGGAAACTGCTGTGTGTATCGTAGATGTTATGTGCTAAACAAACATATTTTTCAAGTGAACTGAAAAGAACTCGATTTAGCGTCTTAATTTTGCCTTTTGTTACAAAGAAAAAAACGTCCCTCCGCCGGGCTCGTCTCGTCATCGCTCCGTGAGGAAACACAGATCCTCGTCCATCGTCCACCTCCGCTACATATAACTCCTACAGGTGGGTCGAATGAAGTTGATATATGGCGAACCATTTACCTGTTGTTCATTTAATATTAATAGAAAAGTGGAAAAACTTCAAGATTGGCTAAATGAGCACACATATGTTAAACAATACCTTGCTGTGGAAAATGAATTGACATCACCATATATAAATCGTAATGCTAAACCAGCATAGAACAGAATATATGCTGGAAGAACAATAGCTAAATTTGATAATTGATTATTAAAATCAAAATATGTTTTAAATTTTCCCAATCGACGACTATCTTGTAGAATAAACTAAAACAAAATTCGAAACAATTTCTCTGCAAAAACCTGATTTCTCATAACCCTACTTGTTGTAGATCTTCTACCAACATTGTAGTAATCGTAAGGATTGTAAGTACTTCAGTCCAATGTATCTTGTATCCAACAGAGCTAATCGGATCAAAATTAAATAACATAAAATAACTGAAAATCAGTAAAAACCATAAATAACCAATCTAAAAAAGGATAGTTATAATTTGGTAAGCTTGCGTGTCATAAAAGCAATTATTTTCTTACGCAGTTATAACTATATTTCGCTACTGGTGACCAATGAAAATGGCGTACACGTTGCCACCATGTTGAATCTTTGCCATAGTCGTCCGTATAATTAATTCCAATCTCATTTAATCTTAAAATGAGGAGCACTAGTTGCGGATTGATCAACAATGATTAATACCATACCTTTTTGCAGTGCTTTTCCCTTCTGCAATCATATCTTGGTTGTTGGTGTTGACATCATGTGTATCTGACTGTGTAATCGAATGTAATAGATTAAATGTGATTAAATTGAAATAAAATACATATTTTTCTCTTAGTGGTTCAATTCGATCGTACCATATATTAGTTAGTAGAGTTTGACAGGTTTCTTCATGAAGAAACTTCTTGTTATCTGCTGCAGCAGCCACCTGAATGAAAACAAGACTAAAATCGTAACTAATTGAAGACAAAAACTTACCTGTAAACAAGTTATACCACCAAAGAGCTCTATTTTTCTTATAACTAATTCACATGCATATTCTTTATCATCATCATAACAACATTTTAAACATTCAATGGCAAATGTTTCAAAATCTTCTGCTTCTAGCTCTAATTTATTTCTTGCTTCGTTATCATAAACTTTTTTACAAATTGTTCGCAGAATTTTTGATGCTACTAGTGCAGCACAAATACGCGTTTTCATATTTGATAAAAATAATTTAGCCATATCCATACGATGCGTTAATATTGACCATAGAAATAAATCACGAGATATATATTCCAATAGCACATCATTCTTATTTCCTGATGCTTTCTCTTCACGGCAATCTTGTTGGTGTTCCTGTACCGACGATATTGGTGCTATTGACAGGAATTCCACCGGTAACGTTATAGTTTCCGATGTATAAAGTGGTACCATGTAATCACCAATCAGATATTTTAATGCGTCATTTAAATAATCTAATCTACTCAATTTACTGGAAGGGACAATTTTATCTAATTTATATAATTGATCTGACTAAAATATTGAGGAGAAAAAAATCTACTCAACACTTTAATAGCTAAAACATACTTTGGATTTTCTAAATAATTCTTCTAAATAATTGAATTCATATTGATTTAGGAAACTGTGCGAAACAGATTTCCATTTCCATCCATTGTGCAGTTTTTTGGGTCGCTCGGTCTGCAGAAGTTGTACTTCCATTTTTACTACTAATGTTTTTTGTAAATCAAAACGAAGTTTCAAAAAATTGTCCACAAATGCTGGTTTAGCTTGCAACAAAGCTTTAATAAAAACTTTACGTCTTTGTTCAGGCTATAAAATAATACACAAATCCGTTTTTTATGCTGATATTTAAAAAACAGTTATTATTTACATCAGTGTTATTCTTCATATGTTCGTTTAGGCTTTCTGTAGCTGCCTGTGCATGACTCCATTTTAGTGCAACACGAAGTTGATCTTCTGTCGATAACGGTTTACTGTTCTTATCAGCTAAATTTTCGCGGGCTAAAAGTGTAAATGAAATGTACGTTTGCGTAATGGGGACTGTCAACTGGATTAGGAAAAAGTATCAAAATTTTGAGAGTAGTATTAAACCAATCAGGAGTGGGCGATAGATACAATATAAAAAAGAGGACGACATAAAAGCTTTTCCAGGTTACCTTGAACATATGTTTCATAAATTAAATCATATAAAGTATTATTATTGTTTTTATTAAAACTGAATACTTTTATATTTGATCGAATCTCATTTTTATTTTGTAAACAATACATAAACCTAAAAACCATTTGTTGTAAATAACGTTCTTGCGCTGGTTGTAATGATCCACTAATTAATTTTTTATATGAACGCATTTTATTCAGTTCTTCTATCTCGTATATCTTTCGTAGTTCTTGCCGTATTTCACCTATTTGTGATTTAAATTCTTGAAGAAGTTTCTTTTGTCTAAAAGCAAAGATCTGATATTCTGAATTGAAATAGACATGGAAGGTTGTAAAGCTTACAGTTCTTTATTGATCATGTCCGTCCATTTATCTGATTCACTAGCATCGTCATCAAGTAATTTCCAATCAACTTCATCGTCTTCGTTCGTTAATCGCTTTTCACCTAGAAAAACGTACAAAAGATATCGCGATTTTGGTAGATACTTTCACCTTCTTTACGATACCTTTTACTTCTGCTTCTTCGCCACGCTTTAAAAATTTTGAAAGCAAATCAGCGATTGCTCCGGTGCCCTAAAACAGATCCAAACAGGAACAGATATTTATCCATCAACCCAACAAGCTTTGTTTACGTCAATGACAAGGACAGGTGTTTTTGCTAATAAATCGTCAAAGATTGTACACAGCGTATGTAAACCGCCAGCTACAACAATTGTAACAAGCGGTACTAAAAGGAACAAAACAATTTCGTACTGTTATCAGCGTACGCCTCATTAATTGCTGCTAGGAATTTTGATGTCTACAAATAAATCTTACTGACTTGCTCGATGTGCACCAGAAGAAATTGTCCTTGCTAGTTGTGAACGATATCTACCCACATCAGATGGATTTAGTGATCCATCATCAAGTAAAATAAATTGTGTATGATGTTGTTCTAGTTCTTGGTTGCCAATTTTCTTTTTTAGTCTATAATCTTTTTCTTCCTGTGATACGGTCTAAAGTAGTGTAAAAACAACCACGTCGAGATATGCCCAGCTCTTTTTCTTATCAGAGAACGAAAGCCTTTCATAGATATTTGCACTAATCTTACCGTAACTAATTCATTACGATGTTTTACATTAGCCCATTTACTCACACCCACTGCATAAATTTCTTTGTTCGATTTTTCATTCTGTCCGTTCATATCAACTCGCAGATTTTTGAGTTTATTTTTATAAATTGCTTCGCCAACTAATCTTGGAACAATTTCATCTTTGTATCCATTCGTAATTAACCAACCGTCTAAATATGTGAATAATTGTTTCTGATCAATGAAAGTATACGACACTTTACTTGATGATAATGCGGCATCTGTAATGCCTTGAATGAATTCTTTTTCTAATTGCACATTCATCGTAGATCCAAATCCACCAATGATACACATGATTAAGTGGGGTTTGAACATCTTCCATACATCGAACATAACTAAAGCTAATTTATCAGGATTGGTTTGAATGTCACAACGAATGTACTTCAAAGAAGAAAGAGTAATAGCGCTATTTTTAGAACCAGCAATTCCACAAATAGAGAAGGTACTCACAGGCGCATTGGAACCTTTTAGCAGACCGTAAGCGTCAGTTGGTAGACATGCAGTATGGGTCTCCCATTTCCATTTCGGTGTTTCGAGTAACCATGCTTGATTATCTTTCTTTCGACATAACTCATGTTCGTCATGCCAGCGATTACATTCACACAATTCTTTAGCGAGCCTCAAAAAATTCGATTGTCTTATTTGTAGTACTACGGGACAAATAATTTACATACCCGTCAAGTTCTTGCGCTGTAAAGACGTCACAAGTTCGCTTTTGAATAGAAAGTTTTTCAATTGAGTTTTTCAAGTACAGTTTTTTATGATTCTGTAACAAATAAACTCTAAGTATAACACAGCAAAAGTATGTAAGCAAAGTACACGTACCAGATTCAGAACACACGTCGTATTCTGACTATTCATCTGAAAAACTTTTAACAATATAGACATATCTTACATTTGCACGAGGTAGGAAGTCGAGATACTCAGGATAAGTCATGTGTTCAACGAATCCCAGGACATGTTATTCTCTTAACATTAGGATATGTTTTTGAAGGACATAGCTGGAGTAAAGAGTTTGTGTGCCAAAGACAGTAAAGTAAGTTTGCTAGTTTACCAAAAATATTGGGTAATAAATCGCCAAGACTAGACGAAAGATAGATGTCCTGATTCCACCAGTTCTGAAACTATAATACTCATATGAGAATTGTCGGAACTGACACGAGAATTCTACTTAACCGCTAAAGAATTCTAAAAAGAAAGGAGAACTAGATGAGGGCAAACATCGTGATATTAATTTAATTGGAATGTTTACCCTGTCAAGATTCTTGTTATGTTATAGAATTCTCGTAGAAAAAGTATAGTTTCGGAATTCATGGAATCCAGACAATGCTCAGGCAAAAACAAATTTTCTCACAGTTAGGGTATTGGAGAGTGCACCGTAAAGTGTGAGAAACATTTCGCTTGTCTAAGTCCGGTAGGGGGACCTACAGATTTATAACTCATCGATTGTAAAAAGCCAGATGTTTAGGACACCGAATTTTATGAAATTTGTCGATGAGTATGTAAAAATTGTAAAGCTGAGATATTATAACGTTGTAACCAATATCAACGATGGCGGCTTATTCGACGTTTGAAGTCAACATTTCAAGGATCCACTTTCTGACCGTAATCGTAGCTTTGTTCAGATAAAAGAAAGAGTGGTAAGTAGGTACGTATATATCATAAACTAAACATTGGTAGAATGCTTGATGAAAACGTAATAAAGGGGAACTGTAACGAACAAAGACCGAATCGGATTGGGTCTAGTGCCGTCGAATCGGGTCGTGTTCGGGTCATTGTAAATAATATTGGTTCGGGACGGATCGGGTTTGGCTTGACGTGAAAAATACTGATTTGGATCGGGTCGGGTTCGGGTCATCCACCTAAGACCCGATTCGGTCTCTGGTAACGAACTGCTACTTTAGGAAAAAGATGTTTTTAATGGCTTTACGAATCACTAAAGTGTGACTTTAGTCTGCCACAGACCATTAGTTCAATGATGCTACTTGATCATGCAATGTTACAAACAACTGAGTTAATAGCTGATGGTCTTGTTGTTGTGGTTTTCTTTAGTTGTTGCCCAGGTTGAGATCCTTCCAGAAAAGTATCTCGCTTCGTTTCAAATCGATGGCTTGTACGTTCTGCTATTACGTCAAATATATCGTTCACTAACTGGATTGTTTCTGTCCCATTAATGAGCCATTCTTTTCTAAAGGGAACAGGATCCGCATTCTTACCTGCTAATTTTTTCAGCCATCCTTTCATGCAGGAATGTTTTTCTTGGTAAGGCCATAGTAGAATAAATGGCTTATTACAATTAGTTGTATAAATCGCTGCTTGACGACAATATCTTGATGTGTAATAATCATCTGTTGCAAGAAATAGTACAATTGTAGCTTCGTCTATTGTTTCAGTAATCTTCTCCCATGAAGTATCATCATTATTGACCAGTACAACATATTGGTTAGAGGAGTTTTTCTTCAAAGCGTTCACTAGCTGCGAACAAATATCAAGATCTGGGGTTGTTCCCGATGCACTGATCCAAATTGATATTTCAGGTTTTAATGTCGATTTTCTGTTTAAACCTGAATAAGGCAAAACCGGATCACTAATCTGTTTCTGTTCAGGATTAAGATTCCATAGTATACATTTTGCTGCGTCATTTTGATTATCTTTTAAACCTTGAAGGACAAGGATTAGTTCTGGATGTGATTTTAGGTTGGACCGGAAGTCAGAGAGTTGTTTCTTGACATCATCGTTGCTCTCGTCGTCGGGATTATAAAAAGATATGCTCCAAATTATGTTAATCAATGATTCACATGCTAGTATTCCTCTTTTATCACCATCGGTGAGTGCGCCTCGACATGCGACTAGTGTATCAGCAAATGTCTTTGTGTAGTTTATCACGGTCGATGCGTCAGATCTTAGTTGAATATCCAATAAATATTTACCAAGAACGTCAGAAACAAATAGTTTTTCCAAGACAACCAAAAGTTCCGATAAATGAAAACCACTTTGTGACATTCCTTGTTTCTCTAGTACACTAAAACATGCGGTAATAGCGTTGATTAACAAGTTCGTAAATATATTACGTAACAAAGGGTTCTCCAATTTTACATGCTGTTCAATCTGATCTTCGCGGGCTAGTAACGTATATGCCATGTAGAACAATACATGCATACTTTCATCAACGTCAGCTATTACTTCTTTTTGAATGCGCTCTAGTACTGTTACACCATCTTCCTTCCGTAATTCAATGGCACCTTTGGCATCACGAGCAATATTATGTATAATACTAACGAGGGCTTTTCGATGTTCAACTTTTAATTGTGGTATTTGAATCCATTCAAGTACAGCTTTTGGATAACCAGCAGCAACGAATGCTGGCACTATTACTGTTTTATCAACAAGATTCCATGTTAAAGATAAATTTTCTTGTGCAGCCAAGTTATATGGAATCGTATTGAAAAATATATCAGGTATATTAGATGAACTTGCAGTGATTTTCAAATAATGATCGATGTAACGAACAAATGCTTTCAGTATGTTCGGATAACTATCAAGATCATTTTCCTCGAACACAGTGAACATGCATGCTCGGTTAGATGTATAAAATATTACGTACAAAAGCGTTTCGTACAATATAGCTCCTTCTTTCTTAATTGTATTATGGAATCTGCGGGTGGGAAGGTCCAGAAATTGTTCTTTGTCTGTCCATTCATAAGCATGTGTTAAATATTTCATTAGATGAGGTGAAGAGTCTAATAAATGGAACAATTGGTAAAATGTATCTCGTGCACATTTTGCATCATTTTTCAATGTTTCATCAACAATTGGTAACATGGCAATTCTAGATAGTAGCCGTACGAATCGATTGAATGCTGGCAACAAGAGGAGAGAGTCACTATCTAGTAGTTTTGATATGTCAACGATCGTCTGTATAATATAAACCAACGATGTTACTTCATTTCTTTCTTTGTCGTTTGTATTATAACTGAAATTTAATAGCGTTTGCCAATTTTTTGATAGATTATTGCATATTACAGTGATCGGAATAACTGACGTAGTAACTGAAGCAATAGAATTTCCGGCAATTTTCCATTGTTTGTCTCCATATAAGTGTCTTTTCAATTCACCAATACTTTGTGGACCGTGAAATTTCTTAAACGAAGAGGACGTTTCTTTAATTGCAGGGCTATCATCATCAGCAGTCGAACCTTGACTGTCCATTGTAATCTGCAAACCAAAATACATATTTAGCGATGTGCTTAGCAAACTTTGACTATTTCTCCATTTGTCTGATAGTTTTGGTCGAGAAATATGATGATGACTTATCGAAAAACTAAAAAGTGGCTATAAAACGGGTGAAAAGGACAGGGCAACACCACACTAGTGGAAATGCCGGAAAGCTTAGCAATACTGAGGGGGCACATTGCAAGCCGAGCTCCTCGATTAAACCACTCGAATAAAAATCGTTTGTGGATTGCCGAATAAAGGATGGTTTGCTGAAAGTGAGGTTTGAGCAGGTTTGGATGCAGCGATGTTCGAAAGGTAAGTAAAATCCAACAGGTGTTTCGAATAAAGGAGTGAGAGTCCCTTTCGTCCATGTTAGTAGGCGTGGCACGTATCCTGCGAGAGAGACGCTTCACTAGGACTGTAAAAATTCCCGTGGCGTTGATTTAACGCTAACTGACAACACAGTTACCGTTAAAATAACGATAACTGTCTTTCTAGTTATCGTTGTTTTAATGGAAATTGCGCTTCCAGTTACCGTTCGTTGAAATAACGGTAACTATAAGTTAGTTAACTGTGTGGTAACTATTTCTTAATTATGGCAGAAATATCCAGGCAGCGGCTTAAAATGGTTTCCAAAATCATTAGCTTTCCACTAAAACTGTTGAAACTTTCATAAATGACATGATTTTGACTGGTACACACGTGCAAGTCGACCAAACTAATCGAAATTATATAACTTCAATGTTTTGTAATTGCGGTTTTTAAGGTCTCTGGAGACCTCAGCATCTACAGCCAGCTGGAGAAATCATTCTGTTTTCATCAACGAAATTAGACTACAAAACCATGAAAAGTTATGAAAATTATGAAAGTTTCAACAGTTTTAGTGGAAAACTAACGATTTTGGAAGTAGTGCGTAACCAGGAATCCGTGGGTGGTAGGGCAGTGCCCCACGACCTTTAAAAAAAATCCATCTTCGATAGTTTAAATTTTTTCCACAACTGAAATATAGTTGCTTAATTCTCACTTTCTTAAGAGAGAGACAATACACTGTATCTGCACTTTTATTAAGTGAAATTATGTGAATAAAAGAGAAAAAGAAAATGAAATAAATAAACAAATAATAGTTATTTCAACATTATTCGACAAAAATCTTACGAGGGAACTTTTGTAAGTGACACGCTCCGATTCGGTTCGTTCGCACATCATTCGATGAAAGGTAGCAGCGTAGTAAAAAGCCTAAAATATTAGCGGCCCCTCTGGCTTCTTTCAAAAGCTATAGGGATTTTTCTATCATTCCCAGCCAAAATCGCGAGTAAATTAAAAATTCATAACTCTAGCAAATGAACTTCTGCGGACCTGAAATTTACAGTACAAATAGCCCACAATGTCAGCTAATTAGCACCAAAATTTCAAATTGCTGTGACGTGTACTTCCCAAATTACGAGTTTACCTTTTTATCCGTTTAAACATAGGCTTTAATGAGTTTTGCGAGTTTACTGTCGTTGTCTTTGAATATCGATTAAAAAAAGATATGCATATGGGATGTAAGCCGTTCATTACGTCAATGAACATCGTCTCCGCTCTTCCACGTAAAGGTCTCTAACATTTCAACGGTACTGGTTTAGCTGGCATTGTGGGCTATTTATGCTGTAAATTTCAGGTCCACAGAAGTTCATTTGCTAGAGTTATGAATTTTTAATTTACTCGCGATTTTGACTGGGAATGATAGAAAAATCCCTATAACTTTTGAAAGAAGCCAAAGAGGCCGCTAATATTTTAGACTTTTTACTACGCTACTACCCTCTATCGAATGATGTACGAACGAACCGAATCGGAGCGTATCACTTAAAAAAGTTCTCTTGTTAGTGAAAATAATTATTTTTTGTTTCTCCCGGTGCCCGGACTAAGACCGCCGGTGGCCGAGCGGCGCCCGGACTAAGACCGCCGGTGGCCGAGCGGCGCCCGGTCTAGCCCACTCCTGGTTACGCCACTTTTCGGAAGCCATTTTAAGGCGCTGCCTGGATATTTCTGCCACAATTAAAAAATAATTACCACAAAGTTAACTAACTGATAGTTACCGTTAAAACAACGGTAACTGACAAGACAGTTACCGTCGTCGATGACGGCCGAAGAAGTAACGGTAACTTTTACAGTCCTACCGCTTCACCCTCCAACGGATGAACACTCATTTCAATCAAGAAACCAAGTCAATGAAAAATTAACATTACTTGTTAGATGTTTATTTGCTTTGTGGTCTTTTCTCTATGGGCTGGTCACTTACCTAACTGTTTTGACTCACTACGACGGCACAATTTTTCATTGACAGTTACGTTTATACATTTATGCTCAAGAACTAGTTTTTATTCGATATACTTCCAAGATAAAACTTCTACTTTTTCTTCCATAATATAAAATGTGAAAAGGCATCTAAAAGCCAACAGATAAATACAACTAATTGCGTTTTTTGTTCAAATCTTCTACTGTGGAAAATGAACGTCAGATTTTGTTTGACGTTATATAGGTAAGAATAAATTCTTCGTTGTCGAGACGAAGTAGATTTTTCTGACAACAACATCAGAATTATGAATTACATAGAATGTCTTCTCCACATGATTTTTAATTCTTTGTTTACTCAATTCTGTCATCATTTTGAAAAGAAAAAAATATGTTTGAATAAGTCAATAAAAGCCAAATGCTTTCGATGCAATAACGTTACTTTGACGAAAAGATACGAAAAATTATGATTACAACGGGCATGAAAAGCTGAGAAAAAAGAATAAGGTTTCAATTCAGTAACGAAAAGCCTTACATGTTTTATGAAGAAAAATCAAGGCTATCCTAACCGCACTATATAGTCGTCTAATAATGTCCGTCTGGGCTGAATGTAAATTCTGTTTATATCGTTCAAGAATTGAGCCGGTATTGCAAAAGTGTAACACAAGACGGGCTTTTATCACAGTGGACTGCACGCGAACGCATTCACTGCTGATGTCAAAAATCAGAAAAATGTTTTGAAATCCGAGGATACCTGGTGTTATGGAAAATTTGCGTAGATCAAAAACGACGACTTTCTATAGAAAAAAGTCATGCTATTAACCCTTGACAGCTGTTCTCATTTCTGGACTTCAAGGCTGCTCAGAGGTCCGGTTTGGACCCACACAAGAACGTATGGGAGACGCTCAGGCTTTTTACCATTTGATTGACGCTTTTCATGCACGGATCAATGGTCTACATCATACTCCTTCTAGGCGTGAATATGTTGATACTGATACAGGGTATGTAAAGGTATATTATTTAGAAGACATTTTCGGGAAAGGTTGTATAGTTAGGTCTGCACCAGTATTTAACTGGCGTTGTAGCATCCGAGAAAATTCTATGTATCGGTTATCAAGATTCGCTCATAGCTGCGGAGCATCTCATTTTGTAGAAAAATGTTTACTCTACCAAAACGACGCCAGAGGCGGCTTTAACACTGCTAGAAATCGTAAATATAACACCAAGGTTATTATCGAGTCCGTGCGGACCCACACTTCAATTTTGTTTCTGTAAGACTCATTCACGAGACGAGATTTGATATAGGTAGAGTGTGTGGATAGAAGACTGACGATTAGGAAAGAGAGCAGCTGGAAAGAGATGCATACTGCCGAGTAAGAAACAAAAACTGCACAGTGTGGCCAACTGGACCCCCAAACAGCTGTCAAGGATTAAATAATGATAAACGAACATTCTTCTTCGCACAATTTATAACAACTTGTATCTATTTACCATATTCAAACAAAAATACAAGTTATTAATTAAAAAATTGGTGATGATTCGGTCGTTATGTTCTGTTGAACAGTACTGACTGTTCTATTCCACTTTATACATATATTCAGGTTGTGCTGATAAACAATTGTTATTAAAGAAATGTGGTGTTGAATAAACAGTGAAGACAAGGTGAACAGTTTGATTGATGTACTCCACTAACTGAAATTTTAACAATTCTCTTTTTCTTCTTTCGCTGTATTTCACATTGTTTAGTTTTCAGAAATTCTATGTCACTCCTACTGTTGACGATGACTGTAAGGTCGAATTATCGAAATAAATTTTATATTAAAATGATTTCTGCTCCATCAACTTTTATGTTTATTCTGAAAATATTACCCATTACAACATTAAAAAAATTTATATAAAACAAATAGAGAAGAAACACAGACGATTGGCTCTAGTAGAAAGATGTAACGGTTGAACGAGTTGGCCTTAACTCTGCCTTTCTCAAAGCAAGCCAGATGGGCCCGGGTCACTTGGCCAACCGTCACTTTGCCGACACATCACTTGGTCGACACCACTAACACGTGAATCCCACTATAGCACAGTTGAATTTTAAAAAAGGACGGGTGCCAAAATGGTCACTTTTTGTCCTAAAATAAATTGGCATGAATTATACATTTTCGGAATCAGCATCGAATTCTGAACAAAACTGTCGTTTGACATTTTTGAAATTCGACAAAAAAATTTTTCGAAAAATTTTAGGACAAATACCCCCCCTCAGGGACTTCGAAAAATTTTTTTCCACTTTTTAATAAAAATAATGTCTATTCCTATAGGTTCGAGCACGGTGATCACGAATATCACAACCGCAGCTCATAAAAATGTTTCCTCGTTGAATGGTGACCATGACAATTTTTGGCCTAAAACCCAGTATTTTTGGTCTTGGCCCTGTTATCTCGATTCGATTGTGTTTTGGAGGGCCGGAAATACTTTGTCTATATGTAATTCGACGTGCTCTATCCGAATGTGAAAGAATTAGCTTCGAGAAATGCAAACTGAACTCCATGGTCATACATCACCTGGCATCTTTACTTTGACAGTATCGTTTGAGGCACTTCTACTTTGAACTGAAAGCTGAAAATTGCAGGGTAGAGAGAACAACGCTGGTACTATCTACAGTAAAAATTTCGTATTGGTACCTCAATTACAAGCACTCATTTGGCCATGAACAACTTTGTAAGTACCCAATTGGCCAGGTGACGTAAGACCATGGAGTTCAGTTTGCATTTCTCGAAGCTAATTCTTTCACATTCGGATAGAGCACGTCGAATTACATGTAGACAAAGTATTTCCAGCCCTCCAAAACACAATCGAACCGAGATAACAGGGCCAAGACCAAAAATACTGGGTTTTAGGCCAAAAATTGTCGGCCGAGTGACCGGAGTGAGTTGAGGTCACTTGGCCGACAGTCACTTTGCCGACACATCACTTTGCCGACAAATTGTTTTGCCGACAAATTGTTTTGCCGACAACTCATTTTGCCGAGAAAAATTTGTTCATATCTTTTTTTAGGATTTTTTTAAAAATTTGTTTACAGTGAAAGATTACGGGCAACGCCCCGAAGAAAATGATAGTCGATCTATTACCCCGATCAGCAATAACATTTTGAGTTCTGTATTCTCTGTCTTCGTCTTCTTTGGAGCTGGTTCTCCGCGCCTTGATTTTTCAATTTCCATTTCAACTTCATTCTTCTTTTTGAATTTGTTTAATCATAGTGAAAATACCAACATGAGCTCGACAAATTAATGTTTCCCAGCGTTATGCCAGACTTCTGGTTTTGAGTTCTTGGAAATGCAAATTCCATATTATTAAAGACAGACCACATTTCTGAACCACTAAACCTGATTTTATTTTGAAAATTACTACATAAGAAGAATAAATGTATATGTTTGTGACACTAAATATGGACAAATGCTTTTATTTGTACATATAAGAAGGAAAAGAAAGAGAATAGTAAAAAATATAGATTGTGTTATATAAAAATGCATGCACCATAGATTTTAAAAAAGTATAATTCTTACTAACACGTGAATTACACTTTAGCACAGGTGAATTTTAAAAAAGTTTCTGACGCAAATTTTTGTCGGCAAAGTGATGTGCCGGCAAAGTGACTGTCGGCCAAGTGGACGCGACCCAGTCAGATATATTTTGTTTGCAATGTTTGCTTTCTTTTGCGTCAGTGTAGTTTTCTTTTCAGTGGGAGACTTCTGCTTGTACACAAAGATACCTGTTGTCTTATGTACTACCTAAATCATAGAGAGAGATGCTTACTCAAAACTTTTCGTTTTCGGTTTCAGATATCTTTCGTTCGTTTTTGCTATGTACTAAACTGCAAAAACAAGGGTCAGTTTTACTAATGAATAGAACGTAAACATAATCACTCAGAGTTAACCTTGAAAAGCCGAACAAATGTGTCTTCGATTAGAGAATATTCTGCTATTCTGTACAGTGTCTTTTCTAGATCCACGAACGTTTGTGGTACCCATCAGTTCCCAACAGTCTGATCAATGGCACGCCAAGCGATGAAAGCAACTGATCAACCGCGAGCTCGGTGGTAGTGGAAATCGAATCCTAATCCATGGTCAACAAATGAAAAAGAAAAATGGACAAAATATTCTGATATCGAATGAGACCATCAATTCTATAACAAAAGCTGAATTTATAGAATCAAAAAAATAAGAGAGACATTGATCCGGCTCAAGCCGGGCTCTCAATCAGCGACATCATTATTTCTTTTTTTCTATTGGGTGATAAATAATCAAACAAAAAATTATTATGGTTATTAATGATGTGTAGATATAAATCTAATTATATAGTGTGGGGACTGACGGATTGTTGTACGATTAAAAAATGCAGTCATTAGCGGATGCATATATGTTAGGTAAAATGAAATTCATTGGGTGAATCTATTAAATTAAATAAAGTTTTTAATTAGAAAAGTTTTGGCGTTTTGGGTTTTTTCTGGAAAGCAGCAGTTTTCAAAATAAATGCATTTTACACTTTACAGTAGCGCCGCCGTTTCGGCAAAATTTATTTATCTCGAAAACTACTACTTTCCAGAAAAAACCCCAAACGCCAAAACTTTTCTGATTAAAAACTTTATTTAATTTAATAGATTCACCCTATGAATTTCATTTTACCTGACACATATTCAAAGTGCATAATCTGTTATATGAGGGATGAGTCATTCAGCCTCAGTCCACATACCAATATTGCAAACTTTGCGAATCGAACAATATCTCTTGGCAAACACTATTGTGAGAATCTCTGAAATTCGACACACTTTTTTATTGTTAAAGTATGTGACTCAGTTCATCAATCTCGACAACTAACAATAATTTTGATTAACAGCATGTAAATTTAATTCTACACAAAACGCACTGCCGGCTCTTGTGACTATCATATATTTTTGATTAACAGCATGTAAAATCTAATTGTGCACAAAATGCACAGGAAAAAACCCGCATATTTCCGCTTTACATCCGTTCGATTTCGAGTCTTCCTAATTGAGATCACTCTTTATCAAGAAATTTGGAAGTCTTAAGTAAATTACAAAAACATCAGAAGATGGACACAAGAGAGCGAGAGTGGGTGCCAAAAAGTGGTCTCAATTCGGAAAGAGTCTCCGATTTATAATCAATATCAGACTGTAATAGTCACAAGAGCCGGCAGCGCATTTTGAGTAGAATTAAATTTACATACTGTTAATCAGAACCTATTGTTAGTTGTAGAGAATGACTAACTTAGTCATACACTTTAACAAGAAAAAATATATCAGTAATAGAAAAGAAAGCTCAAACATGTTTTTATCTTTCCCTTAATAAATTAGTCGATGCTGTGGGCGACATGACTCATCGCTTTGCTAACTAGTATAAACAGTGGCGGTCATATAATTTCATTAACTCTCTACGAGCTCAGATTCTTGTTAATACAATCTGAAGATAAGTTCGTTAATTTTCTGTGTTCAGTGTCTCAAAAAAATCATTCTGACATTTTCCATTCGTGTAACGACATGGAGGTCTTCGGAATTCCATTATGACGAGGATAATAAATGGAAAGTTTGCCATTTTTTTCATTGTTTTCCTTATATTCTTCACGCCATTACGCATGTTCGTCTCCATATCTTATGCCGCCGCTCATTTTTAAGGGAAAACGCTTACCTTCTACGCTTTCATTTTTTTAAGGTAAACTTTTCAAGTTATAAAACCCTTAAAATAAGAATACGAGCTCACCAAACCCATGATAACATGAATTTCAGAAAATGAACCAATGACTGCTGACTAGCTAGTAAATCTCTTAAGGAAGCATAAAAAAATCACACACAGCATCGACTAAATGGCCTCCACACATTTCTCTATTGATCTACGCAAGAACCAAGCTTTTATGATGAATGGAGAACCGACAAGAATTTCGAAAAACTTAAGACTTAAAAAGCACGGGGAGGATCAGATCACGCACAAAAAGTGACTGGATAGCACCAAGTGCGGTTGATGCTAGCGATTTTGTTTGATGTTCAAACTGGCTGAATGATTGCAAGATTTACACTAATTTGTTCAATAACTTCAATTTGTTGATATTTATTCGATGGTAAAACATTCAATACCTTTTTAGCAACTTTTCTTCATGATTGCGTTGGCTGAAACGAGGAAGAATTAGACGGCGTTGTAACATTTTATGCAATTTTCAAGCGCATTAAAGCCAAACGGTTAGATGTTAAACTTAATCGTGCATTGTTTTCGTATCCGGTCTTTCTGCGTTAGTAATTCATGCAATCCTTTTTCTTCTTTTTATTAAGATACTGTTAGTGGCTTTGAGTGCATGCTAAAGCAGCCATTTATAATAGTATTATGGGAATTAACTATCTACAATGTTACGGAGGGTCTCCCAGCCCGTTTTTTTCCACAAAGGCGTAGAGGACACTTCGAAGGCTAAGTTGCAAAGTTTTTTGGATTTTTTAACTTGTAGCTTCTAAAAGTTTTTTCGAATTGTGTTGCGAAAAGTCTTCTCTCCGCCAAAAACTATAGAAAGGACGGGAGATGATAAGAGCCAAAATCGCAAGGGGGAAAAAGCGGACTTCAGGGCTTCGAAGATTCCTGAATTCTTGTAGTCCACTGAAGTCTCATGGAGTCCAATGAAATCCCATGAAGTATGCTGGAGTCCCTTAAAATAACTTCCTGTGAGTAAAAAATGTTAGTACGTTTGTTCTTCTTCGAAAATGAGCAATCAGAAGAAGGCTTTTATTCGCAACCATTCGATATTCTATATATTCACGTACTCAGCTTCTGTCTAACGAGGGAAGGCCACCGACTGATCCCTCGCTTTTGAGCTTTAACTTAGTTGACAAGGGGTAATCGAACATGCTGATTCCGAATATCATAATGGTTTTTGCCCGCTTTCACCTTAAAGCCCCGTTTTTCAAAGATCTTGGTTTTTAGGCCGAAAAATCATTTGCACCAAAACATTTTTTTGATCTGTCCATATGAAAGAGCACATCGCAAAACCAACAAAAAACCTCTTTTTAAGGCTCTTTGTGAGGTTTTGAGCGAGTTTTTTAGGCCGAGAACTAAAAAAAAAACAGTGAAAAAGCGGTTTTTCTCTGTACACATTTCCGTACAGAAAATTCTTGTTATTTTTCTTTTCGTTCTGTTCTTTAACTCATCAAACGCATTCAGTACTTGTTTGTGGCATACATGACACAATCCAGCTTCGAAAGATTGTGATAGAAAAGAAAGCTATGTCCGAAATGTAGTTAAAAGATAATATTCGAGGAATGAAAGATGAATGATTCAGTACATTGAAGAAACTGATAGCATAATACGCTTGAGAAGAATAGTTTCTAAAACTATTTGTAAAATTTAATCTCACATCGAAGTGTGAGTTGAAAATAAAACAGTCAATGCGAAATGCGGTACTGAAATGTGAGAAGTATCCGTTCAGTTAAACGATCTCTTATAATTTCACATGAAAATAAAATGAACGCACAGAATATCGCCTCAACTTTGAGTGATTTAGTTTCTCGTGAGTTATCCAATAAAGAGCCGTCTCCAGTTACGTCACAGGAGCGGCAAATGGCCGAATATCTTGCCGATACAGTAAAACTTATGGTCAGCGGACAGAAGGTTGATTATGACGAAAAAACAACCATAGATTTTGCTGGATTTACAGACGAAGAAGATAGTGAGGGAGAAGAGCAGCATGAAGAGGAAGAAGTGGACGAGGACTGGACGAACAAAGAATTAGTGTTAGAAAAATACGATTTAAAAAGTTTTTCAGAGGACTTTATGCGTCAAGTAATTGATTTCGTTGATCAAGCGGGACCTAGAAGTAAACATGGTCGTTCTTGGAAGGCAATTCATCATAGATTTAGAACAATTCCAAACAGACATTATATTCTTCATTTCCGAAAATATCTTTAGCATCATGGAACTAAAAGACAAAAAACGCAACATCTGGACGAGCTACTTTACAAAAAGTTAATTGATGCACGAGAAAAAAGCCTGGCAGTTCATGATTTGGACATACAACGGTGGGGTTTACGGATAGCCAGAGAAATTAAGCTTGAGGAATTTCGTGCTTCTCATGGCTGGCTGGAAAATTTTAAAGCTCGCCATAGGTTAGCCTCTCATAAAATTACAAACTTCGTTTCGCATCATCAGGTGGCAAATCGTGATGCTATAGAAAAATCGAAACAAGACTTTCTTAAAGAATATCATAAGATTTCGTCTCATTTTAAACCTTCTGAAACTCCTAACATAGATCAGACGGGTGTGAAAAAAGAATTGCACTCAAGTCGCACTATCACTTTCATTGGCGAAAAGAAAACCTTTGGTGTTGTGCAGTCGAAAAATGGTACGACACACTCCTACACTTTACAACCAACTATTTCCCTAGACGAAAAACTTTTAGCAACTATTTATCTATGCTTACAAGAGCCAGGTGGTAAGTTGTGTATAATCTAAATCTCTTCAAAGTTCTCTCATTCGTTTTTTCGCTTAATTAAGGCAAAATGGAAGAACAAGTGAAAAGAAACCTGTTTCAGCCGAAAAATGTTGTTATAACATGTTCTTGTTCAGGCAAACTCACAAGTCACTAGTTGAATATTGGAGAGATAACTGTTTTCTGCCATTGGTCGGCGCCAAATGTTTGTTACTCTCTGACAGTTACCCTGGCCAAAGTCGAAAAGAAACCTTTCAGCCTCAAAACTGCAGCGGC